AACTACAAACATAGGTACACACATCTGGACTTAAGGAGTCAAAGTAACGTGTAATACATAACCTTTGGTCATTGTTCATAAAGTTGTGTTTATCTCATTTAAGACCTGATAAGGACCTGAGGATTGTCTAATGTTCTGGTACATGACCGTAGCTTAGAGTAGATCATCCAGATCTTTCTGTGGATTGTCTTTAGCCACTGTTGGCACTTTTTTTTTTTGCAGAATCTTAATTCTTGGAATTTTGATTGGATATTTCATGTTTTGTTATTAATTAAACAAAGCATCTGTCATATCAGTGTTTATTGGAAGTTTACATAGCTGTACAGAACTGTTGGCTGTTATGCGTTTCAACATGGAATGGATTAATAAACATACAAGTGGTCATAACAAAAACAGAACACAATGTAAAAAATATGAAGACACGTGCAGATTCATTAGTCTTTGGTCGCTCAGTATGCTGTAATGTGCAGTCCCAACATCTGCTTTTTAAAAAAACGTGTAATTAAAATGAAATGTGAGATAGCACCAAGATCAGTGGCATTGCTGGACGTAGAGCGGACACAAAAACAGTAATGACAGTACAGTAACTCACCTATGTAGCTTAAATACAATAATGGATTTCGTAAGGGGTGAGTATCCTGGACCAGAGATATAGTCTGCCAGAGCAGCAGCACAGTGTGGACTAAAGCAAGATGTCAGTTCTGCTCCTGCGTCCCGTCTGCTTGGCTCTAACTGAACTGCATATGCATCGAATACTAAAGATAATAAAACATAGTGGAATATGATTAAGGCTTGTCCTCGTGATCATCACTAACAGATTTATTTAGATTCATGATTATGTGAAAGTACAAAAAATATAAAATTTCTTCAGGCGATCATAGCAAAGCTCAATTTACAACTATCAATATGATAAAAACCACAGCTTTGAGAAGTTAATGTTTTTAGGGCAGGGGTAGACAACTCCAGGCCTCGAGGGCCGGTGCCCTGCAGGTTTTAGATCTCACCCTGGGTCAACACACCTGGATCACATGATTAGTTCGTTACCAGTTCTCTGGAGAACTTCAAGACATGTTGAGGAGGTAATTTAGCCATTTGAATCAGCTGTGTTGGATCAAGGACACATTTAAAACCTGCAGGACACCGGCCCTCGAGGCCTGGAGTTGCCTGCCCCTGTTTTAGGGCTACGGCCCAAATCCACTCGCTCTTTCAGTGATACAAAGACGCCGTGATTGTTGCTTTTTCACTCTTTCAGGCACATTATCAAACATCTTTAGTGCAACTTAATTTTTTTTGGCTTACAAAAGTAAACACTCTTTTTGCATTTGAATTTCGTAAGGGGTGAGTATCCTGGACCAGAGATATACTCTGCCAGAGCAGCAGCACAGTGTGGACTAAAGCAAGATGTCAGTTCTGCTCCTGCGTCCCGTCTGCTTGGCTCTAAAAACTTCTCTAAGTTATAAAACGTACAGCACGTGTAGCTGAATGTGGCTCAGTCTTTGTGCACACATTAGTTCTTGATGAGGTAAAACAGCTGTATAGTGGTTTAAAGGACTGTCACCAGCTGGCAGGAGAACACAACCAGAATTTGTTCTGTCCACTTAGCAGCAACATGTAAAATGAAATGAAACAAACTCCTACATGACGTGACAGGTTCTCTCTGCACAGGAAAGAGTCCAGAGTCGAGGGGGGGTCGTGTGTTTTGGAGATGAGCTGAAGAGAATCTATCGCTCTGACTTGACCTTGTAGCGGAGGACAAGGTAAGT